TTACATATCCATGTAAGCCAAAATTGTAACAAACATATGGTCTTAATTCTGGGAAATCTAGGTTCAAATCCTTGCTCCTCCATATTGTTTACCATTTTTTAGCCAAATCTAGAATAAATTGATGTGAGGATTTATGAAAATCAATGTAAATTAACTCACTAATAAGAAGATGGCTGTCTAGCTTCTGCTTGAGCACATCTAGTGAAAAGGAGCTCATTGTCTCCATCAATAATTTGTATGTGGCTTATCAATTTCGTACAATTATAGTTCCCAGCCTCTACTGGGAGAAACCATGACATTGGACCTCCAGTAAGACTATAAGATCAAAGGTCCATCTACATTAACATCCTGTTTCCAACATGGGCAGCTTCCATGTAAACAGGTGATAATTTTTTCCTGTTTTCTGTTTCTGTATTCAAAGCTTACTGCTTGGATATGAAAATTCATTTTAGTATCAAAGTTAACAAAATAAAATTATTTAATTTAATAATATGAAGCCTATCTCCCAGCTTAAATATTTTGTTTTGAAAGAAACAAAAATACTTACAAAAAGCCATTGTTATAGCTACCTTTCTTTTTACACAATTTTAGCAAGCAAACCTCTGTTTCTTACCAACAGCTCTAAACACTTCTGTAACGTCCAATATTGCACCGTTCACACAATTCCATTTATTCTTCACTGTTTTTCATGGGTCACGAGATGTGAATATTCAACTGGAGCCACAATGCTTACTTATAAAGTGACTAAACAGTGTGACATCTACTGGGGTTTATATCAGAAGTAGGAACACAATTTCAATGGTGCAAAGTGGTACCCCTGCTGCATCCACACATCTGATGCAAAACCGCTTAAAAAAAATCACTTTGAGATGTTGTAGAAACACTAGCAAGATTGTGAACATGTCACACAATATTGTGTGTTTCTGATAATCCCATACAAGATATGATGAAGTTTTGATGATTCTCTATGAGAACTCATGCGAGTGCCACTGTTAGCTTTTAGATGAAAATACACATTTTGAGAATAAGATTATGGAATTTCAAAAGAAGAGAGAGAAAAAAAGAAAGCTACCCATGACTACATTGCTCATGAATACAGACAGAGTGGGTTGGACAACATGAGAATGTATAATGGCAAGCAAGTTCTAGTCCCTTCCTAATTGGGTGCTCGCATGCTGGAACAAAATAAAGCCACTATATTGATTTTTCTGTTAGCTTAATTACAGGGCTTATATATCCCTCCAGTCAAAGCTGAACCTAAACCACTTGCTCACCTTGTTCACACAAATAAAGTTAAACTGTATAGTTTAAAATACCAATACAATATAATACAAACACAGTCCCTGAGAGAAATGGAACTCCACTTTCATTCATCTTCAGAATACAAGAAGGAGCAGCTCTTAACATTCCCACCCCCATCCCCAACCCCAAGGCCTGTTGAAAAAAATGATTTCTGTGCAGCCAGAATTCAAGCAGGCACAAAAATCAAAATCCTTCAACAGAGAGCTCTTTTAGCCAGACCCCAGAGACGAGAGGACAGGTGCTACTCACCTGGGCAGGTAGCATTAGCTTGCAAAACCTTCCCAGTGACTTTCTAAGGAAGTCAGCAGAGAAGACTTCCAAGGTCCCTTTCAACATCATCATCATCATCATCATCATCATCATCATCATCATCATCATCATCATCATCATCATCATCATCATCATCATCATCATTATTACATATGGTGATAACATGATCACAGGGCTCTAGGCAAGTGATCGTAAGTACGAACAGGTTCCCAAACACCAAGATTGTGATTACATGATGGCAGGAGGGTTGTGCGACATTTTGCAACTGTCAGAAGTGCTTTACAGGCTGTCATTAATTTCGAGGCTGTTCTTAAGCTGAACTGCCATTAAATGAATTGTCATAAATTAAGGATTACCTATAGTACTTATTAACTACTCCTAAGTTAACACCGAGGAGCATTCTTTCAGTGATGCTTATTCAGCATTAAACTCCACCTCTATTTAGATTTTTCTGAAAATTAATTTTTAAAAAATTGACCATGCTATTATCTTCATACAACATGCTTAACCTGGTAAAGATCTAACAACATACAGGCCAGTAATCTTGCTTCATAACCCTGGTTGACTGGTCTGTGGCTTGGATATTGCATAGATCCCCACAAATGGATCACTCTGGAATTACATCTCCTTCAAGAGTTGTGCAGCTTCAACCCTAGTGAATCTCATAGACCTTGCTCTTACTGGATTGTTTGTTGTTAATCCTTGTGAACTTTCCCTCCTGGTATGGCCATTTTTTGTTTTAATTGAATATATTGATGTTTTAACCCTTTGTAAGCTATGCTGAGTCATGTGTGACTAGCCACAGAAATACTGAATGAATGGACCAATGAATGAATCAATGAACAAAGAAGGTATGGTAGGTAGGTAAGTAGGTAGTGGGTGGAAGGGTGGAAGGGAAGGAAGGAGGGGAGGAGGGAAGGAAGGAAGATTAGAACTCCTAAACCAAAAGTCAGTTTGTGGGAAAGGAAGTGATTATGTTATACATAGCAATTGATCTGCACAGAGGTAGACATATGGGCAAAGAGGTTCAGAGCATTAATTATCAATACATTTAGCTGAGGTAATAGTCAAACTCTTATCTGTTTTCAAAGAAAAAATGGAGAGCACTCACTCTTTCCAAGGATTTGAGGAGATTCTGCCTCTCTTTTAGCTTTTGGATACTGATCACAATCTTATGCCTTGCACCTTTGGTAACGTTCTGCAACAGAGACGTGGAACGACAATATTAGTATATATATACAGGGTATCACACATGGAGAAGCACAGGTGATCACTCCAGACTAAAGCAACCAATATGGTGAGGTTCCAATAGGTCTTAGCCAATTAATTATTTAGATTAACATGGAGCTAGCATTATAACATTGGTGGATGCTAAATGTATAGATGTGTCAAAGCTGGTAAAATTATTAAATCTTAAGAAAGAAGTTTGCTAGATTCCAATTCTTATGAGAGTGCTAAGTCCTGAATTTGAGCAAATGATTTTACTGTTCATAGGTCAGAGTTTAGGTTGCAATCATTGCAATTTTGTTATAATTTAGCTATCATAATTACCTACCAGATTTCAAGACATTTGAGGAAAGGCCCTCTGGTATAGTATATTGTATCATGACTCCCAAGACCTGAAAAAATTGCTGAATCTTTTAGATCAAGTCAAAATGTGCCTAATCTAGATCTAATTGGTTCGAATCTTAATTATTTAATTCTTTAAAGAGAGATGGAAGCTTTTCATTCATCACACAAGATTTCTGCTCCAGAAGAAGAAAGCGGGTGGTCGTATGGATCAAAGAATTTCCCCATTTTTCCCCAAAAATACAGTCTCGAATGAGTGGTGGTCAAGGAGGAAAAAACAGAAGTGGTGGTTTTTGATCTATATTTCTATCAGCGGGAGCATTCAGAGTGATGTTTATTCAGAGAACACTCCTTCTGGTCAAAAGAAAAGACATTTTGCTCTAACCCAAATAGAAGCATTCCCTTATAGCCATAGGAGGAAATGAACCAATACCAGTCATCAGTGAGGATAATGGTTCAGACTAAGAACATGTCTTCCCCCTTCAAATCTGGTATTTAATTATATAAGTATTTAGGCAGAATTAGTGCTAATAAGAAAAAGTGTTTAATCTGCTCTTAAATTGGATGATCATTAGATGATTTGGCAACAAATGGCCAAAACAACTCAGAAGCTATTTTTTTTTAAACTAGATAATCTAACATACTTGAGCCTCAAGCTGACATTCAGTCAAGGACATCATTTCATCATAGGTCATCTGGGAAAAAAGGGCAGCATACTTATGGAGACGCAGACTTTTGAGCCAGGCAGGAACATCTATATGTGGAACAGATAAGTACGACAATTACATCTTAAAAGTAGCAGAGCAATCATTACGATAATCTGCTCCAGTTGCTTGGGCCAATGGCAAAAAATATTTTAAAAATTATAAATAAGTATACCAACAATTAACAAGAAATAAAATTACACAAATAAACTGTGGTGAAAAGCTGAGATTAAAATATATATATATATATATATATATATATATATATATATATATATATATATATATATATATATATATATATATATATATATNTAGCTGACTTTAGGGAGGGTGGTCATCTCTGTTTCTAGGCCATTGAGCCAGCACTGTCAGAAGATATTTCTGCAGTCCGCAGTGCAAAGTGTGTGTGGCAAAACATAGAGTGCTGTTACCTTCCCATTGAAGTGGTACCTATTTATCTACTTCCATTTACATGCTTTTGAACTGTTAGACTGGCAGGAGCTGAGGCAAGTGAGGCACTCCATCACGCAAGAGTAGGATTCGAATCACCAGAGTATAAACTTCTCTGGTGTCTATTAAGCCACTGTGCCACTGTGCCTCCTTGCCTGTAGGAACTGCCAGAGGAGGCTCTGGAGATACATGCAAATAGTCAAAGTTTGTGGGGTAGTAAGTTTTGGTGTGTGGGGGCTTCTCCAGGGTACCCTTCTGTTTTTTCAAACAATTGCCAGGGGAAGAATGTGTTGAATGGCTTGGGAAAGGCAGAAGGAATGGCACTTAACAATATTTCATATAATACTATGTTGTATTAAGTCTGTTACTGGATCTTACTTTCTATTTACGTTTTTCAAACTTAGAAATGTAACAAAAACAGAAATAAATTATAAGTAAATAATAACAACACAACGAGATACGTAATTGCAATAAGAATGACAGAAAACCAGTCTCTCCATGGACTTTTATATAGTACACATTTTTCATATCCAATATATGTATTTACTTACCTACCATTGTATGCTGCCTAGTCTAGTGACTGTACAATATACAATACAAGCACTGGAAGGCAACATAAGAGAAACGTTCAGTGTTGTTCGTTCTGTATGATCTAAACTGGACAGCCAGAGGCCTTAAACCCTCTTCCAGTTGTCTGTAAAAATCCTTGTGAACTGCCTCTGAACCCAGGAAGAGCTTAAACGACTTACACTTAAAACTTTATAACTGTTTTCTCCAAAGTAGCAACCTTCAGACTGTCACATTATAACACAGGATGGCGGACACATTGCATCAACATATCTCTGGATCTGTAGTGTAAATGATCCCTTTTTTTGGGGGGGGGGGAGTTATTAACATGGCTTCTATATTGCCACAAACACACACAAATTAAACCTTAAAAACCCCATGCAAAAACAAAATGAAATATTCTGGATAATGCTGAGCCTCCTCTGGACCTTATCATTCCAGGACACCTGGATAAGTAACCCTTGGTTTCCAATCCAGGAGTTTTGCACATCTTTAGAACTGAGCCCTAAAAGAACTTAAGAGAGAACGCAATAAAGAATGAAAGGATAAGCAATCAAGTTGAATAGCATCTGACTACTCAGAAGATTTTCAGATCACAGTGAAGAAGAGATTCTTCTCGTCCCCGAGAAACTTTTTAGAAAGAGGTTTAGCCAGCTTCTACTCTTTTTTATTAGGACATTTTTTAAAGAAAGATGTGATAGGAGAGGCTGTTTTAATCTCTTCACACCAAATGGTTTGCATTAACAGACAATCCAAGAACTGGTAATCCTGCTCCTTCCATGTTCATCTGGATAAAATATTCCCTAAGTTGGTATCACCTCAAGTTCTCTGGGGACAAAGGTCTAATACAGGCGTCCCCAACCTTGGCCACTTTATGACTTGTGGACTTCAACTCCCAGAATTCCTCAGCCAACATGACTGGCTGAGGAATTCTGGGAGTTGAAGTCCACAAGTCATAAAGTGGCCAAGGTTGGGGACCTCTGGTCTAATACAACTCAATCCATGGTCTCAAGAAGCTTCGGCCCTCCCCCATTCCTATCTGGAAACACTTGTGCTCTAATGGTGAACTCTGAACTTGAGTATTTCAGAAAGGCCTGTGAAGGTTGCATCCACTTAGTGGCTTAAGCCCACAAAGTTACCAGCCTTGCAAATAATTATTGATTCTTTCTTTCTCTCTCTCTTTCTGGAGAGAAGTGTAAGGATCTCATGTGTCACAGTTGACCTTCTAGAACTAGATAGGATTGGCCTGGGAATCAGAAGAAATGTCAGGGCAAATAACCAGGAGCATTTGTTGAGTTCAAAACATAGAAGAGTTTATTATTGCTACCTCTAATACAAGAATCTAGTCAACCAATAATTAAAGCTAAACTGGCACTAGATAAGGGTCAACAGAATTCACAGGAGTCTGGACTTAGATCTTTTGTGATAATGCAATGACTCTAAACTGATGACACATTTAGCCCCGCCTTCCAGTTCAGCCTCTTCTGCTATTGACTCTCCTAGAAGATGAAGGGAATAGAGGTTGGACAGGTGAAGGATGAATAGAACAGGTTATAACAGGCATGAGAATCTTGCATGGCTTCTAAAAATACATTGTATAAAAACAATGGTCTGATATAAAAGAATTTATACAAATTTTATGATGGGCAGGGTATCATTCAAGGACATCACCATTGGTATTCTAGAAAATCATGTTTTATTGTGAAGGAGCAGTGGGCTTATGTACAGGGCCTGTTTGCTCCCACCTCCTTCCTTCCATTACTCTACCTAGCTAAACAAAGGTTTTACTTGTTTACTAGGTTACACAAACTGATCCTTGTTTGCTGTTTCCAAACAGGCTAAGATTCCCAAAAAGCAAGAAGAAAACCCACTTTGTGATCCTGACTATAAAGGAAGTAGGAGACCAAGATCTATAATTAGGATATTATGCTTTAAAAACCATTCCTGCTTTTTTAGCCATTTATAGTAGAGGGAAGAAACAGCAGGCAGAGAATTCATGATAAGGCTGAACTGTCCAGATTTCAAGCACATTATAATGCTTGTAACATCAAAGTAATCTGCTCATTTAAGCATTTGCACTTGTGAAAGTTTGCAATAGGGATACCAACCGAGTAAGCCAATCAACGATCAATTAATTAAGCCATGTGAATGTTCCTTTCCATTAAAAATAATACCTACAAACATGATACATTTGTAGCAAAATAATAAAATGGTGCATGAAAATTAGATATTTTTTCTCTGCTGTGCTGAATTGGTGTTGTGAAGAGTCTGACGTTTTACTTTTATTCTCCATAAGTTTTTGTTTACAAGATTCAGAATCATGGTGGGTACCATGTTGCACACTTATACAATCCCTAAGCAATAATTGCATGGCATGAATTCATGCTAATTATAAAATGGAAATTAGTAGCTGTCTACTAACAGGTTTGCAATTTAGTCCTTTTTACCGAGCTGCCATTTTGACATTGCTCAAATAATTGTGTTTCCTCTTTGCATTCTTTAATTTAAAGCAGTTCTGGCTGGGGAATTCTGGAAGTTGAAGTCCACACATTTTAAAAGTTCCCAAGTTTGAAAAACACTGATTTCAACCAAAGCAGGGAAGCCATATGCAAGTGTTCTAAGTGTCCCCTGTGGCAATGGGAAGCAAAACGAAGCAAAAGCACAACTCCCACAAAGCTCCCCTCTTCAGAAGCAGAATGAGCTGCAGCACTGGGACTGGGAAAGGGCCATTTCTTCATTATGCTATTGAGCAGAAGCAACAGATGAGAACAGCTAACTCCTGGCTAACATGCCATGGAGATAAGCACAAATAGAAAAACACATGGAAGGTGATTTTAAAAAAATCCCTCTGATGCTGATGGTTGAGATGCAGATGCCAGAAATATTCTACACACAGGAGTATTTTCAACTTGGGGCCATCCAGATGTGTTGCATGTCAACTCATAACCCTCAACCAGCAAGGGCTTGTGTACATTCATCTGGAAGTATCAGGTCCAGGAAAACTATTATATTTATTATTCAATGGAATTGCATAAGAATAGGAGAGCCTTCCACTATCAAATTAAATACAGGTAGTCCTCGATTTACAACAGTTCATTTAGTGACCATCCAACGTTACAACGGCACTGAAAAAAGTGATCATTTTTCACACTTATGACCTTTGTAGCATAACTTCCAATCATGCTTATGACCACAACTGAGCCCAAAAGTTCTGTTGCTAAGTGAGGTAGCTGCTAAGTGAATGTTGTCCCATTTTAGGACCATTCTTGCCACACTTGTTAAATGAATCCCTGAAATTCTTAAGTTAGTGTCATGATTGTTAAGTGATTCTGGCTTCCCCATTGACTTTGCTTGTCAGAAGGTCGCAAAAGGTGATCACATGACCCCCTGGGACACAGTAACTATGGGTCAGTTGCCACGTGTCTGAATTTTCATCACATGACCACAGAGATGCTCCAACAGTCGTAAGTGTGAAAAATGTTCGTAAGTCACTTTTTTCCAGTGCTGTTGTAATTTTGAACAGTCACTAAATAAATTGCTCTAAGTCGAATACTACCTGTACCGTTTCTGAGGTTCCATTTAACAATTTGAATTGATATTAAGCTGGGAAGAGGCAACCAGGCACACGCTCAATGTGTGACTGTGTAATTTCCATCATGTATTATTCAAGCCTGGTGGTTTGCAATCCAGAATATCTGAACATCCCCAATTTGCCTTTTATCTGCTTTAAAAATGGATCATCTTCTGCCACATGAACCTCCCTGCCCAATCAGGTCAGACTTTCTGGCTTGGACATTGAGCAGTCAGGACTAATTGGTACCTGAAGGGCAGACCACCAGGAAATCTTATGGTTGCAAACTAGGGAATTGAAAAAAAACACATGCTGGAGTGAGGATAATTGATCAGTGGAACAGCTTGCCTTTAGAAATTGTGTGTGCTCCATCACTGGAGGTTTTTAAGAAGAGACTGGACAACCATTTGAGCAGGGCGTTGGACTATAAGACCTCCAAGGTCCCTTCCAACTCTGTTATTCTGTTAAGAAGGCAGGGCCAAGAATGCCTTCTTTGTTCAACTACCGTACTGTTTGCTAATGGCTGCAGAGCTCCAAAACACACATCTCCTCCTTACACCTGTGTCAAGGTTGTAGATTTATTGGCTGTCCTGGGAGACGGCTCAAATGGGAGGGAAAGAAGCTAGCACAGGTGCCTATAATGCCCAGATGATTCATTAGTTCTCTCCATTTGTGTTCTTGTGTGTGTTTGATATGCATAAACCAGAACACCAACTCTTTTTTTTTCTCAGCCGGCTATTCCAAATGTTTTGTTTTTACTGAGTGGGCTCACATACTCTGTTAAACTCTGGTTTATTAATCACTGTTTATCAAATATACAGCAACTGCCTGGGTTTCCACGACATAAGCCAAAACAAAATAAACCAAGTTATGATTCAATGCAATGGACGAATCCAGTGTAATGGACTGTAATGAATGATATTGGGGAAAGAGAGAGGAGGAGATGCTGCCTAGGAAACAGATGAGAGAGGCAGGACCGCACAGACACTTAATGGCTAGAGAAAGAAACTTAAGAAAGATCTGTCCTAATGGATCTAGCTGGTAAAAGTGAAAGTGGGAAGTTTGTGCCTTCAGACTTGCAAGTTTCTGTTAAAGAAGCCTTACAATAAAGTAGAATTAGTTCATTTTGTTGTGTTTTCTGTCTGGTTTGGCTGGGAGGGCTGACACCCAGGTAATGTGCTTCATACTTTCTATATTGAAATTCGGATTGCAGAATGTGATATTTCTTCACTTAGCTTGATAGCCGTCTTAGGGGAAGTGTCTCATCTCAGCTAATAAAATAAACAGGAATAACTCTTGCAAATCGACCTGTTTAATAGAAGAATTGCAATCTGCAGTATAAGGTCAGAATGGAATTAAAATGCCTCCGTATTCTGTTTCTGAACAATGTGTTTCAAACAACTTCAGGACTTTGTGTGAATGTAGGCATGCATGTTGTTAAGCAATCAGGACAGGAAGGGAAAATGTGCATTTCTTTCCACTCACCTTTCATACCACTCCCTTCTTCCTGGAATGTGTTACGAGTAGAAGTCTGATCTTCTAAATGTTCACTCCCACCACTGCCTGAAGAGGCTACACTGCTTTGCGGAGACAAGGGGGCATGATCAGAAGGGATGCCCTGGGGTCCTCTATCCCGCAAGTCCTCATGAGACATCCATCCGTGTCCGAGGGGCTGGCTAGGCACAGTCATGGGTGGGGTGAGGGACACAGACCGTTTCAGAGGGCTGTGATGGGTCTGACTTGAGAGAACTGAAACAAACAAGGTGGGGAAAAAAATTAAAGCAAGCTATTTCTCCCCCAATGGTTAGCAGATCAAAGCAAACGTCTCCCTTGAATGCAAGTCACCATTTAAACCAGTGGTTCTTAAATGGTTTGACCCAATTACTCCTTTTTCTGGTCTGACATAATGGCATTACCCTCACCAAAAAAACAACCAACCAGACCGTTCTTTTATACAAGCGTCTTGACAATGGCAGTCTGAAACTGGATTCTGAACTCACAAACAAGCAATTATAAATTGCTCCATTAGTCCCAGGATATGAGGGGGGCCTTGGTGCTCGCTGAGCTTTCTTGCAGATGTTTCATTACTCTAACTAGGTAACATCATCAGTGCTAGTAAGGAGTGCTGTTTGCTGTCAGTTTATATTCTGGTGTCTTGCCTGTCTGTATGGATGAGGCTGATCTTAGGGATCCTTTGGTTAGGCTGTTTACTAATGGCTCTGTGGCAGTTTCTTGATTGGGGTATTGCTTGATTGTTGATCTGGAAGTGACCTTGGAGTTAATCTCTGCTGATCTGAGTGCTGATTACTGGTGGAGGAGTCTTTTTCTCTTTTGGGCTGGTTGATCGTCTCTTTTGCATAATCTATAGATGTTGTTAATGTCTATGTGTCTATTGATGGCTGATTTGTCAGAGTGCCAGGCTTCTAGAAATTCCCTGGCATTTTTGGATTTGGCCTGGTCTAGGATTGTCACATTTTCTCAATGGAAACTATGGCTAAATCTGTCTATATGTTGTGAAATTAAAGAATTTTCATCATGCCTTTTGACTGCCAGTTGGTGTTCATGGATGCATTCTGCCAGCCTTCTGTTTGTCCTACATAGTGGTTGTTGCAATTCTTACACTATATGCTGTAGATGATTCCTGTTTTTTCTTCTGGGGTTGCTGGGTCTTTGGGTTTACTTAGGATGTTTTGAAGGGCTTTTGTCGGCTTGTGTGCTATGCTGATTCCATGTGGTTGTAGAAGTCTATTTGCGGTTTCTGAGATATTCTTGATGTATGGCAGTGTAATTCTTTTTAGGGTTTGTGTTGATTGTGCTGTATTGGGTTGAGTGGTCAGAGACTTTTTGATGAAGTTGCATGGGTATCCATTTTGTTGGAATGTGTTGTATGGATGCTCTATTTTCTTTTTCTGCTGTTTTGGCTTGCTGCGGTGTGTTTGGGCTCATTTAAAGTCCTTACACAGCTTTTCTTGTGGGAGGTTGGGTTGTTGCTTTGGTAGTGGAGCACCTGATTAGTGTGGGTGATTTTTCTGTAGACTTGCATTTCTAGTTTGCCACTGTGGTCTCTGCTGATCAGGATGTCTAAGGAAGAGTAGTGAGTTCTTGTTTTCTTCTTTGCTAGTAAACTGGATTCCTTTAAAAATGTTATTGATGGTTCTGTGGGTGTTCTCTGATTGGTCCTTTTTTATTATGGTGAAAGTGTCATCTACATATCTGATCCATATTTTCAGTTGTATTTGTGGAAGTGCTATGGTTTCTAGACATTGCATGATGACCTCCGCTATAAGTTCTGAAAGCGGTGATCCCATAGCTGTCCCTTTAATTTGTTGGTAAATTTGGCCATCAAATTGGAAGTATGTAGTTAAGCAGAGGTTTATGAGATCCATAATCCTGGGTGTTTTGATCTTTGTATATTCAGTTAAGTCAAGTGTGCTGTGAAGCAGTGCCGTCATGGATTCTTTGGCTAATTCTGGATCTATAGATGTGAACAGGGCTGTGAAATCAAATGAAACCATGATTTCATCCTCATCTATAGTCACATTCATGATTATTTGAAGACACTGTAGTGGAGAGTTAATGGAGTGTTGGCTTCCTCTTGTGAGATGCCCAAGCTTTCTTGTTAGTTCTTTTGCAATGTTGTATGTAGGGGTCGTCCCTGGTAGAGATTCGAGTGGCAAAAAGGTCATAAAATGGGGCTGTGACTCACGTAACAACTGCTCTGCTTAACAATGAAAGTTCTGGTCCCAATTGTGGTTGTGAGTTAAGGATTACCTTTAAAACACCACTGAAACACAAACAATTAAAGAAGGAAATTTGACCTATAAGAGATGGATTGTGCCTAGCAAAGGATGATTGCCAGCTCCATTTTCCCTCTGTAGTTCACTCTGCTTCTTTTTTCCTTCCTTGCCTGAGCTTCTGGGACCTAGGCTTCCGGTTACATCTTCACATGCATCCTTATCTCTATCACCTCTAAAACCCTTTCTGCATGTCTATCAAACCAAACCAAAATACAGTGAATAAATTTCTTTTCCTCCAAATGGCTATGATGTTATTCAGTCGTGTTCCTCAACAACAGACGGCTAGTTTCCTAATCAAGTAAACAGATCTGAGGTGTACCGGAAGACAAATTACACAACTGCTGTTATTATAAGAACGCAATGTTTCTCCTCATGCAGAGAAAGCAGTGCAACAAATTTATTTTCAGAAAAGAGTATTTGGGGAGGGGGAATGCGTGTATACTTTCGAGTCAGTTTTCGACTATTGTTGAGACTTTTTTAGTCATAGAACTACTTTATTTTATATAGACCTATTTCTTGGAAGTACAGATCTCACTTGACACACTTAAAAAAAAATCAATGAAAGCAGCAAGCATATAAAATGGAGATCTGCTCAAAATAAAAGTTACAGGTAGTCCTTGACTTCTGACCATAATTGAGCCCAAAATTTCTGTTGCTAAGTAAGGCAATTGTTAAGTGGTTTTTGCTCCATTTTATGACCTTTTCTGGCACAGTTGTTAAATGAATCACTGCAGTTAATAAGTGAATCATGCGGTAATTAAACAAATCTGGTTTCCCGCATTGACTCTGCTTGTCAGAAGCTGGCCAGGAAGACTGCAAATGTTGATCACATGATCCTAAAACATGCCAGTTGCCAAGCGCCTGAATTTTGATCACATGACTCTGGGGAGGCTGCAACAGTTGTAAATGTTAAAACCAGTTATAAGTTATTTTTTTCACTGTTGTTGAAACTTCAACTTAAAACAAATGGTTTTAAGCTGAGGACTACCTGTAACTATTTAATAATCACAAATCACTCTTGTTTTTATTATTTGATTTGTCACACTAACTTGAATTTTATGGGGTGGGGAGTGCAACTCGGGGTCAAATTCAACTACTTTCAATTTTTCATTTTTGTGAATACACCCAGTTTGGTTCATTAAACTGTTTTAAAAATATTTAAAAATATTTCAAGGCCATGGTTTTCCCAGTTCCAATGTATGGCTGTGAAAAGTTGGACTATAAGAAAGGCTGAGCACGAAAGAATT